GCACATTCTATATCACATTTATATCTTGTCTTTCAAAGCTAAATTCTATTTTAGCATTTTATAAATAATGAAAACTAGAGAGTTAGAGATTAAATAAAATGTCTCAATTAAATGTGTTTTTGGATATTTAAAGTTTAACAATTTTTAAATTTTAAAAATTAAATGTGATTTGACTGTATCGCTTTCTTCTGTTTACAATGTGTGTCATTATATTAATAATCTCGTTTAAATAATTTAGTATATCTTAAAAATGTAATTTATTTTAATTTTGGATTATTCGAGATCGAAACAAATGTTTTTAAATTTCTAAAGATTCAATATTAAATTAATCTTATACGAAAATAGTAGTTACAGTATATATACCTAGATCTTAAATTTTCTCAGATTTTCTAAGACGTTCAATTATTTATAAATTATCGATGTTTATGACTAATATCAGACGTCCTCATTTCTGGAGACATAAAGTCACATAAAGTTTAGCGCGAAACCGGCGGGAATGCACTTTTGACGTGGGTGCTTATCGTTTCGCAAATAAACCTCACGACACGGTGCGTTGCGCCGCAATGACAAAGCATCGCGAATGTTTATCGGTTATTTGTACTGGAAAAAGTTGCCCCCTCATGTGTAAATAACATCCTGTGAAATGGAATGCGGCTGCTTCTCCTTATTTGACGCTTTCCTTTTTCGGGGCTGGCATTCAAGCCTCCACCAGTAATAACTGAAATTTTGCATCATCCATACAAAAAAAATATATTTCACGACGAATATATTTTTCTTCGTTTTTCCTTTAAAAATAAATTCGAAAATGTATGCCTAACTGCAAGGGAGAAGTATCTACAAACTATTTATTAAAATGTGCAACATATATAAATTGTTATAAACAACAAATTTTTAATTTTACATTCGTATAAAAAGATAAACGAAAATTATCCACATAGAAAACGTGCAAAATAAAGAAATTATGCAAAGAAAATAATATATATATATATATATATATATTGTCTGACTGAATGCAAATTTCACTGACTCGTTTTTTTAACCGAGTAAATTGATTCAATCGAAAGACGGGATCAAATAGAACGGATTGCGACGCATGCGTTTATAATAGGAGCGGGTCCAGCTGGAGCCTGCGAGAGAGTCGCGCTTTCGTTTCGGTTTTCTTACGTGCTCCGCGTGTCGGATGAGACGTGATCTTTCTTTTCTCTGCGATCTTGATCTTACATCGGGGCAAGAACCCCTTCGATCAAATAGCAACGTGCGAAGATGCATTGCTCGCGCGTGTTGCTCGCCACTTTGTTTTTCACCTTGGTAGTTCTTTGCTTGCTTCTCACTTCTACATTTAGATATCTTCCGTGCGTTTCAAACGTACGTTAATCATAGTTCATCAGAAAAAAGTTTTAACATTAACAACTCAATAATTTGATAAAATTTATAAATTTAATTTTATATTTTTAATTAAAGTAAATTTATTATTTTATCTTTTGATAAGAATAACCTTATTTTATATATCCCAATGTTTTATTAAGTATTGTAGTAAAAGTTTAGTATTATTTTATATTTTTATGTGCAAATGTTATGAAAGTATTTCTAGATTAAAAATAAATTGAAGTATGATGATATAAATTTGGAACTTATGTATATGATTGCTTTGGAAATTGTAATGTGGATAAACATTCTACTCAACGGTATTGATTTAACCTTGATACGATTTCAACTGTTGTTAGAAGTATCTTTATCTATTGAACGCCACATAAATGAAATAGTCGAATTGAATTCAGTTTCTTAACTTTTACTCAATTTTAATTAAAGTAAAGTTATTATTTTATTTTTAAATTTATTAATTAACATAAATTTTAGATATTATGTAGATTGTTATATTAAAAATACTTTTGAAGTTGTTGATTTCCTTTGTGTTTTCTCATAAAACTTGTACAATACCTTTTATGATATTAATGGGATTAAAATCTATAAAGATTCTCGATAACAAATTTTGATTGAATGTTTTATCAAAGGATTAGTTTTAAGAAATATAGCATTCAATTTTATTATATTATGACATTACAGTAATAACCCCTTAATAAATTTTTATTTTTTGCAAAGAAACAAAAATGGGATAAGCAAAGATAAAGATATCTAGAAATGCCAGGAACAATTTTTATTTGCTATAACATTGTGTACTGAAGGCAAACAACATTTTTGTCGATTCTGCGACCGATTTTCATCGATAAAAATATGTTTTCTGTCACATTAGAAAAATCCAATCGACGGAATGGATAAGCGCCAAACGCCGTAACGTCGCCAATAAACACATTTTTCATGTCAACGAGAGAAAAACGATTCTTTTTCTTTCAAGTTCCATCTTTTTTATGCGACAAATTCACCGGCATCGTCTTGGCGCGAGTTCAACGACTCGCGACGTCTATCCGTCATCGATTACAGATAAAATAATGCAATGAATATCTTTACAAAGCTGATACTGATCTTATCTTACAGTAACGATATACGTGTGTAATAAAAGGTATATGATTCTTGAATAATACAATTATGTCTAGAAAGTATTTATGAACAATGCTGATATCGTTTAAACTTCTTAGAATCAGTCTTTTTCCTTTTTGTGAGATAATCTTAATTTTGAGCACAAAAAGATAAAAAGATAGAAATATTCGGAACATGTAAACCTAGTAAAAATTTCTGTGGAAAATATATACTTAATTTAATAATTTTTATTTATAAAAATATAAATATAAAAAATTTATCCACATATAAAGATATAACATGCATCGGTTTTCTTAATTCTTTATACAAATATTTTATTTATTTTGAATATACTATTTTATAGTTAATCTTTTCAAAAAGTTTTAACAGCTCCTACTTTTTTGTGCAGCTCTTCTAAAAAATTAATTAACTCCTAAAAAATTAACCGGAAATCTATTTAAGATTGCTTCAAGCAAGAAAAAGGATGATTATATGAAATATATTTGATTCTTTTGGGTATTAGCACAATAATGATGCACGGTGATTTCCGGTACAACGAAATGTTCCGTTTGCATTAACGTGACAATAAATTCGGAGTGGATGTTTTATGCAAGGCCATACGCTCGGATTCCAGCGAATTTTCATCCATTATATCTGTCAGCCATGACCATCCTTATCTACTTAAATGGACATCCATTAAATTGCGATTTTTTTTTAATTTCTCACATATAAATTGCAATTAAATCTGCATTCTTATATTTTTGTTGAATACCGATAAATTTTGTTATTTATTTGAGTAGTTGTCGGTTAATTCCTTTTTAATATCAAATGAAAGTAGAAATGATTTTAGGCATAATAAATCTCGAAATATTAAATTGCAAATCCAATATTTCTCAATTTTCAATTTTATAATATAATATAAAAAATAGTAGAAAATTTATTTATTTAAATAAATATTTATTTTAAATAAATTAATAATAAGAATTGAAAATAGAATTTTTAATAATTTCAATGCTTCTTTTCGAGTAATGAACATTATTTGCAGCAGAAATAATTATTTTCAATATATAATATGTAACAAAATATAAAATGCATGTTTTATAAAAATGTTTTTGTTAGAAAAAGCGACTGTTGTGAAACCTCATATCGTGTTGCTACTTGTCCGTTATTCCCTCGAGATGGTTATTTCATGACGAAAGCGTGGGAGATGTATGTAGGTGGCAGATTGAGATTTATGCAGCATAATTACAGTTTTGTTTTAATGACTTGTTTATTCATCCGAACCAACAGGCAACCTGTGAGCTTACTGATCTGAAAAGTGCCGCGACAATTGTGCATAATAACGATTAACTGATCGAGTTCGAATTATCAAGCACATTTCCCATTTATCTGAGTAGAAAACGTGCGATTGACTCGTGTCAATATCATGGTGCTTTAAAAGTACTTATAAAACGGCTTTAAAATAAAATGGAATAAGCTTATAAAATGGACGAAATTATTTGTAAAATATAAATGGCTTTCATATATAAGTAATTAAATCTAGCTGTAATCAGCAACACCCGATTTATATTTCGCGTTAAATATGGATTGAAATTCTTCATTTTTAATTTTGGCTTTTTATTTACTTATATTATTATCAACACAGTTAAAACCTGTGTTTTTTTTATATAAAATTTGTTTATAATATATATATATGGAAATATATATGGAAAGTTATTGAAATTTTAAAAAAATATAAATAAAATTTTTTTTCGCGATATTAACATTACACTTAATACTTTATTTAAAAAAATAGATGCAATATTATAAAAATATAACAAAATAGGCATGTATTACATTATTCTAAAGTGACGTTGTAATTTAAAAAATAATTATCGTGCTTATCAAATCGATCTATTTAAAGCAAAATGAAATCTTAAAATATCTCATGTCGCACGTCGTCGGATTGCTTCGAATTCTCGCAAGTTTTTTTTAACGACCCACAGATTTGCGATTGGAAGACGTCTCTTGGACGTCAGCAGACTTGTTCTCGGACCTGGCGAGAGCCAAGAAAGAATTTCGCGGCCGTCATTGGTCTTGCCACGGCACGCTCGTGGCCTCGTCGCTTCCGGTACAGCGGCACGGCCGCCTGCGACTCTTAATGGTAGCGGCTCGCGCGAATTCCGGCGAGCCTCCTTCATCGGCGATGGTGCGCGATAAATAAATAAGATCGTGGCCGACAGTTATTGGGGAATGCGCGAACGTTCGCAGTAATTTACGCAGCGGCCCGCATTTTGCGTGCGTAAGTGCGTGATGCGTCCGTCGCGTGAGCTGCCGCCTGCTCGTAACTCAAGCGAGATCGTTAATATCTCGTAGGATGAATCTAGCTCGTTAGACCTCGCACAAGGCAACGAAGGACAATTCGCGCGAGCGAGCATAATCTCTTCCGCGCGAGGCAAGATTTCGCTCTTCTTTTTACCTTATTTATCGCTCGTGTCATCCTCCGCTCCATCATCTTTTAGCGTGTAACGTGATTTGGATTTCAGGGTGAGGGAAGGATGAAGAATGCCCCGCGCTGGCGGAGGAGACGGGGATAGCGGGCCCCAGAGAACAGGAGGGGGTGGTTTTGGAGGATGGCTGGGTGGTGCTGCAAGGGCTATGACGGGCGGAGGCGTCGGTGGATACGTCGTTCTGGGTGGCACCAGATATGGTCTGCGAATATCTCAGGTATCGTAGAACCTTTTTTATAATTGCACAGCAATAATACGTTTTATTGAAAAGTTTTATTAGATTAATTTGAATAATTAAAAAAAAAAGATAATTTTATGAAATTCTTGTTTTACGTCATTCAAAACAGTTTTGAAAAGAAAATTATATTTTTCCATTTTAAATTAATAATTTGTAATCGTAGCAATTTTTTGATTTTTTTTAAGATAAAATTAAATAAAAACTAGCTCAGAATTAAGTCAAACTAAATATAAAATTTTTGTATTTAAAAATGAGATTCCTAGCAGCACATTTGTTACATTGTTCTATAAGAGGTGATTTATATTTTATTTAAAATTCTTTTTAATCTGACTATTCCTTCTTTCAACTTCATTTATGGTAATGACATTTGATCATGTCACGACAGAAGAGAGATTCATGATACCAAGATTAAAACGTTGAAAGATCTAAATTTAGAACTGATCATACAAATAGAATCCGCCAGTCACTGACTTGAGCCGATTTTGAAGAGACTTTTTAATTTTCATCTCTCCTGTTCTTTGCGCCTCTCTTTTCACGATTTGTCTGCGGAATAATAAGCACCGTTGACGTCACAACGGCACGTACAACGAATCTCATGTGACACATTCGCGCGCCGTTCTTTGCCAAATCCTGCCTGAGACCCGTATAAATTGCCATTATTTACCGCTATTATCGACTTCGGCGATTTCCAAAAATATTACCATAGACTTGGTGGACTTTTATAACAAAACAAATTGGCTGGTATTTAGGAGCGGCAAAGTGGAATGCGTCCTTAGAAACAGAATACACAACAGTACTTGTCTGTATGTCATTTTCTTGTAAGTTTAAAAATACGAGATATATTTGAGATGGTGTGGAGAAAAGTGTTCCTAAGTTAAGGGACTTGAGCATATGAGAGAAATGGAAGGAAACGAAAAAGATGCATCGTCGCAGACGGTGAAATAAAGCGGATATGAGAACGTGTCCGTGAAATACAAAGAGGTAGCAAATAAGTAACAAAGATATATGAGGCATGCTGAAAAAGATAGCACAATTCTATTCTTGAAGGAATTTAGTGGTGATTTTTCTTTAGTATTTAATTTAAATCCTTGCGCCTTAATACTTTCAGTTTCAAATTAAATTTTAGGAGATGAGCGCTTTTAATAAATAAAGAATCAGGTGCCTTACGAATCACTTTGCAAAGAGGAAAAAATAAATATTGAAACATCCTATTTTTGGAATATTCCAAATAATAAGAAAAAAATATCAACATCATATTTTAAAAGGGAACAAATTAGGATGATCAAAGAGATTGAGATCGCTTCATAAAAAAAAAATTAAAAAAAGAAATCGTGATTGTTTGTTTGCTCCAGGAAAGTTTGACACCGATCAACTCCAGGGAGGAGTCGCAGGAACGGCGGCGGAAACGGAACTCGCGTGAGAGCGACTCGCGGGAGCGGTTGACCGACAAACCGGTGACGGAAAAGCCGCCGATCGATCTGACGGCGAGCATCGCCGATTGCTGCTGCATTGGCCCGCGATCGCGACTTCCGCTCCCACGGATCTCGCCGGCGATCACCTCCTCTTCGACCGCATCCACGATCGTGACGTCCGCGGCGTCGTCCGCGGCGTCGTCCGCGTCGTCGTTGTCGGTGTCGTCGGCATCGTGCCCTTCGATCGTCACCAGTGGTTACCCGTCCGGAGGCATCGCCGGCGGCTGTTCGCCGCCTCTTCCTGCTTCCACCACGAGCGTCGCGGAGACGACGCCGACGCTCGCTAATAATAGTCGCGGCGCGGTGCAAACATCGGTGGGGAACATCGGCAGCACCGGCCAGCAGCAGCAACAGCCACAGCACCACCACTACCAACAGCATTATCCACAAGCAGCGGTGGCGGTGGTAACATCATCGTACTCGCCACCGACGACGACGCCGTGCTCACCCTCGACGTCGCTCGGCTACTCGTCCGGCGTCCCGACGACAACGCAGACCGTCTCCGTGCCGCGGCAGCTCGCGCAGTGGACGAAACATCAGACACTCAAGCTGCAGGTACTTGTTCCTATCGATCGCGAACGCTAAAATCGATCGTTTGCTTCTCGCTTATTAGTATCAGTTAATAAATATCCCGTTCGTCGTTGGTATCCGCGAGTGGATCGTAGTTTCGCGATGGGCATTCGATCGCGTTCGTCCGTAGCCTGCGCGAGATTCAAGTTTCGCGCGTAGACTCGATGAGGTGCGAAAGGTGATCACAAGGGATACAAAGTGGAGTGGCTTAGGTCTGGAAGATTCTGTGTCAGCAGCCCCGAGGTAAGTTTCAAGGTCACCATTAGGAACATAATCTTTCTCAATAACGTAGTAAATTTGTTAGGTTTAAAGCTGTTCTAATTTTTGAGGCAGATTTTATAAATATTACTTTTCACTTTTAAGGAAGTTTAACATTTTCTTCCTCGTTTTCCCATCTCAGAGAAATCAGTAAATTTTTTGGAGAAGAAGAATACCATTTATTGATTATATCTTTTTAATCAGTTTAAAAAAATTGATATTTTTATCAAAATTTTGATATACAATACAAAGAACTTTTTTAGCTTCTTGACTGTACGATAGGAAAAATGTTTAATTCTGTCTTATTAACAAATGTACGGTATAGTTTAATTTATGCTTAAAGTTTAATTAATCTACTAAAGTAATTTCATTAAACTGCTTTTCCCATGAATAAAATTTTATGAAACTGTCAACACCATGTCGCCTTGAAGCGCCCGCTTGAAGTCTTATTGCGCCAGGAAAATTCGTCACCTTGCAGAAATGTGCGTGCCAAATATCATTCTTGATCTTCCTGCACGTTCGACTTGGTTTCTTCATCCGTTTTTTAAATTCGTGCACTCACGCGGCCGTCTGATTTTTAGATCACCTCACGCGTAGCGCCGCGGCACGTTGCTTGGAAAAGATAAAGACGACGACGAAAATAGAATATCGCTTCTTCTTTGACTAGGCGTTTATGTATATGCACGTATGAGTTTTCGATGTCCTAGACCTGCCACTTTACGCGTTCGCCCGGATGATATTCTCTCGCATCGCTATTATGACAGGCCAGTTGTTGCACAAATGTAATACAGCTTTTTTAATTTTTATAAGAAATTATAATATATAAATTATATTAATATATATATATATATATATATATATAATAATAATAAAATAAAATAATATA